TAGGCAAGATCACCATCTCTCGAGGATGCAGCTGGCACTAGATTTCAGACTGATGGCAGAGGAGGTCACTAACAGAGTCAGTGCCTGGTCCAAGACAAAGTATCAACAGTGGTTTTCAGGGACAGGGGCAAGAGGAAGAAGAGGGTTAAAGAACCCCAAGGAGTAATAATAAAGGAAACTGGAAATGATTTCTTTGGCAGTGGAATTCTCCTTATGATGAAGTACAATCAGATATTTTGATTGCCTTCTATTTTTTAGACTTGTCCAATTAATTATTCTCATTAAAATTGTTATCTTTTTAAGTGAGTACAGTTATTCAGATTTTTAAGGAAGTGAAATCAGTTTGGAGACCATTTATACATTCACAATGAACTAGTAAAAGAGAAAAAAAAGGCAGTGTCAGGTGTTTTTAAATTTTTTTTTACTGTTTTTCAGTTAGAGTTGTCCCCCTTTTTCCCCCATTACTCTCCTCTGCCCTACCCATCCCCCACCTCCCATGTTCATTCCTCCCCGCCCACCCCCCACCACACCATTGTCTTTGTCCATGGGTCCTTTATACACGTTTTTTGCCTTCACCATTCTCCCTCTTTAATTTAAGTTCTGTGGGTGATTCAGGAAAAGTCAACTAAGGGTGCAAAATGACCTGGACTCTGAGCTGGGGCGACACAGTAAATGAGGTCCCTGCTTTCTCAGAGCCCACATTACGGGGAAAACTTAGTCAGGAGAAACATAAAAGCCTATATTATGACCAGAGCAAGAAGCACTGAGACTGAGAATGTGGTGAAATGACAAAAGTATGTCCTTGAGTCACTAACCTAAGAAAAGGACATTGAGATCTGAGTAAAAGGTGCAAAATCAAAGGGTCACACTTTACCAGTTTCAGCACAAGGCAATTATGCCTGTGTCCATAAGAAACAGAAATGTCCCTGACCAATAAGTTTTGGGATATAAAAGAATTTTTCAGACTATTTTAAAAGGATCTTGAAGCAAAGTTGTAAAATTATATAAATAGATCAATAAAATACATGCATGTACATACAGAGACGTGGATTGCACCTTTACTCTGATGTGATTTATTTTCTTAGGTTAGCAACCCAAGGACATTATGTGTCATAACACCACCTACATGGACATACATTCATTGGTAAATCTAATTGTGGGAAGATACGTATTTTCATACATTCATGCAAACTTGGAAACAAAATTCTACAAAAGAAGCATGGTTATGCATTTACTAGCACACACATGTATATGTATATGTGCCTGTGTATATTTACATAATTCACATAGTTGCTTATGCATGCAAAAACATGCTCACACAGACATACCCATACAAACATACACACATGTGCCACCTTGTTCTACATTTCTCAGGATGTGACTTGGGTCCCCAGAAAGCATCTGCTGGGATCTTTCATTCTTGGCTCATTTATTCTTGCAGGCTCACAGGCAGCATGCTATTTGGTGCTAGTCTGCCAGTGTCTCCCAAGGGAATAATTGTCAAAATTAAGGGAAGGAAAGTGTTAGTTCTCGAGTCATAATAAATAACACGTCAACTCCTGCCTCCAGGGGGTGAGCTGGAAACCAGGCCTGAGACCAACACGGGGTAGGTGGACTTCCACGGAGAAGGAGAGGAACTTGCCCAGAAGTTCAGCCTATGAGACTAGGAGGTTGGGAAGTTTGTTGAGGTGAGAGGAGCCAGGGGCTTTTCTTCTAAGATGCATCTCATTTCCAATACTTTTTTGACTTCTCCTTTCCTCTTATCATGAAAGACTGCTCCTCCCTGGAGGACACAGTCTTGTCCAGAAAGCCATACTGTGGCAGAGGAACACGTGGTCTATTTTAATCCCTCTCTTCTGTTCATTTAGGAATCATGGTGCAGGGAACCCTCCATTTTGTCCCCTAATCCAGTCCTTTTTAAAATAGATATTTAATTCAATTTTTAAATCCATCTTCATTTCATAAGACTATTTATGTAGTGAGCTACATAGCCTTTAGGGCCTGGTCACGCAAACCCTCGATGACCTACTCTTTGCATTTGTCCCTCATGTTCCTCTCTGGCTGGCTCTGCCTCATCTTCACTCCATCTCATTTGCTCTCTCTGACTTCTTTGTGAAGCCTTGTCTCAGGCTTCCTTTTTATCCTAACTTTAACTTGAGTATTGACACTAGACTTTGGCACATCTCTAGAAGTATAGATTTCTCACTCTCCCAAGTTGTAAAACGGGCATGATTTGGTCATTTTGAGTATTTTAAGGCTAAATAAGATGACAGGTACAAAGACAACATACACAGGGCACCCTTCCAGAATATCTGATACATATACCAAATCAATACATTTCTTTTTCTTTTTCTTCTTATTTTCCCTCTCTACTGCCAAACATCAGACTGTAATTTCTCCTTGTGTTGCTCACTTACCTCACAACTTATTCATTACAACAATCTTCCTACAATAGCAGCTGTTTGTATATAATGAATTGAAAGAATTTACATGATTTTTTTGTCCTCAAAGAAGCTCTCATCTGATGAAAGAAGACAAGGTATGTTCCTCCTCAGATGCCCAGCCTAGAATAAGAACACTGTATGTTCGGGTGTATCTTCTTTCCTGTCACCCTGCCCCCTTTCTCCATTCTCATATATTAAGCCCTAGTGATATGTTTAAAATATAAAATCTAGGTCTTCATTGTAAGAGCTTGCAGACAACTGAAAAAACTCAAATAAAAACTAGAATAAAGGGAAGGGCTATGAGAGGCTGCTGTAGAAAGTGATTACATACATGAGGGAGCAAGGACAGAGAATTGGCACCTGAGCTAGATGTTATAAAACAATGGTAGATGTTGTCTTTGTTTTAAAACATAATTCTGGTTGATTTGAATGCCAGAATGTGTATAAAAGGAAAGGGAAAAATAGAAAAATAAACAACAGTAACAAAAAAATAACAAAACAAGACAAATTACAAGAATGACCAAGAGGAAAAAGACAGGTGAGGGTGTGTCAGGATATATGAAAGAGTCAAGTTAAGGAACTAAATCTCATTGGAGTTTAACAGACATTATGAAGTGTGCCATTTAAAGAAGACACATGTATGGACTATAAATGATTTTTCTGCCCTGGCTGGTGTGGCTCAGTGGATTGAGTGCCGGCCTCTGAACCAAAAAGTCGTGGGTTCAGTGCCTGGTTTGTGGACCAGGCCCTTGGCTGGGGGATTGTGAGTGGCACCCGATCAATGTATCTCTTGCACATCTCCCTCTCTTGAAAAAAACAATAATACTAATTTTTCTTTCATCTTAAACAGTACCACAGGGAACAAAAGAACTCTTTCCCTTATTAGTGCAAATTCATGGATGATGTTCTGACGCTACTAATTTCCTCTCCACCAAGCCCTTTTACAGTACCAAGAGATATCATATTTTAGAATCAGTTTCCTTCACTTTTTTCATGATGTCTTCAAAATTAGCACTCTAATCCATAGACCGTGAAGATGACAAACCCAAAGTTTAGGCTTGACCCCAAACCACTTTCCCCTACCCAAACCTCTATCAAGGACAAGCAAGCTTTCTCTCAAAATCATCTGCTTTTGCTTACATGTCAGGTGACACTCAGTACTGGCAGTTTTACAATGACTCATTTCCCATGTAAACAATTGTTTTGAATGATTAGAACAATCTGTGAAAAGCCGCAGACTTTTAAATATGTGTGGGATACAGTGCCCCTCACAGATCAGAAAGCAGGGTCAAATAATTTCTGGAGACATTCCAGATCATTGTCTTGGCTCAGTTTAATAAAAGTGCAAAGTTGATATCTTCAAGCTGGAAAATTTTAAGCAATTAAAAATGGCTTAACCACAGAAAGATGCAAATTATCTGTAAGGATGGAGAGAAAAAAAAGGGAATGAAAAATAATTGGATAAAAATTAAATGCCTGGCTCAGAATATCAGCATCATACGTGGTTCCTTATCAAAGAGCCCTTAGGTCATCGCTAATGTTTATCCCTCAGTGAGAAACGGGTCTTCACTGAAGATCTATTTTCTCCCATGAGCCAATACTGCTTTCTTATAGCTCATGATTTTTGCTGTGAATGACTCTTTTATTCAGAATCTTACATTATTATTAGAATAGTATTATGTATATTATATACATGATTATCTCCATTTTATAGATGTAGCAATTCCAGCTCAAATAGCTTAGTAGAAAGTAGCAATCGAAGGTTTAAAATCATGTCTGCAGATTCAACTGTAACCCCACCTTCCAGTTCCTCCAGCTTCATCTCCAATACATTTCCCCCCAAGCCATTATTTTTTGTTTCCAGTGTTCAATAAGATCTGTTCTCTTATGTAATGAGAGAGAAATTTTTCACTCTCTTATATTTGTTTCTAATGCAGAGATTTTAATTGACCTCCTATCTTGAGGTATAGAGGTTCCCTCATAGATGCATGTTCTTCGTGTACAGAGATCTCTTCCTCTCTCTTTAACAGGTATATTTCTCTCAGGTCGTGTAAAAAGATTGAGGTGGCCTTCCAGGCAGGGTTTCAGAAGACATCAGCACTATTGACTTGGGGCATGCTGGATAAAATGTTTTTAACATTATTTCTGCAGTTTCAGAAACATGGTTTGAGGACCATCCCCTAGGACTATTGCTTGTTGTGCTCATATACCTGGTAAGCATTGATTAACCATGTTGCAATATGTGGGTACACAATAGCGGAAGAATTTTCCAATGGGCAGAATATTTCTTTCCATTAATAAAATTCCAGTGGGAAAAATACTTCTTTTCATTAACCTTTATAACAATGACTTTTTTCTACACTCCCCACCCTACTGTATGTAAAAACCGAAGTGATAACCCAAAAGGTTGTAGAGTGAACATAGAGAATAGGGACCACATTAGAGATGTTTTATCTAGGAAAAAATAATATTGTGTGTCTCCAGTGGAAGTCAGCTTTCGATGATGCTTGAAGTGGCAGGGATGGCCTGTAGAATCTTTATCTCCGTAACAATTCTATGCTGATGTTGAAGTAAGTTTATTTTTAACCTCTGTGCCATTTAGTCACGTAAAATCCAAAATACCTTAACAGGGGTTTTTAGAATATCTAATAGATTACAGCTTTCTTTAGGTGGGTGTCTTCTTTAAACTACAAAATGCCTTCTCTTCATAGAAACATGAAAAACGTTCAACTCATACCAAAAATACACAGTGAAATTAGTGTGGGGATCAGTTTGAAATATGAACAATAAACTATTCTATCAGATTCCTTTATTCTGGAGATACACCTGTTTGCAAGTCATGACTCCACATATTTACTTTATATTAAAGGCCAAATGGAGCACGTCATTGATGGAAGGAAGCATGTAAGTTGGCAGATAGCAGTAGAAGAGGGATTTGTGAGTCCTTCTCAGTCTCCGAAATAAGCTTTGTGTGTTTCACTTCAGGTTACATCCCTGGCACCTGCCTAAGTCAACATCCCCAGACTCCAGATATAGGGAAATGTTCAACAGAAGTCAACTCACCCCAGAATATTTTCTGCTGACTGGCCTCCCTGGGCTGGAGGCACATTACCCTTGGTTTATCTTCCCATTCTGCTCTACATATCTCGTGGCCCTTGTGGGCAACAGTCTGATCCTGGTAGTGATCAAGAAAAGCACCTCTCTGCACCAACCGATGTACCTGTTTCTTGCTATGCTGGCCTTTGCAGAGCTTGGTGTTTCTGTTTCTACACTGCCCACTGTGCTGGGCATCTTCCTTCTTGGTGCCAGTGAGATCTCCTTTGCAGCCTGCCTTTTACAGATGTTCTCCATACATTCCTTTTCCATCATGGAATCAGGAGTTCTGCTGGCCATGTCTGTGGACCGCTTTGTGGCCATCTATAACCCGCTGCGGTACACTGCTATCCTGACCGTGCCCCGTATTGTTGGTACCGGTGCTGCTCTTGGACTGAAGAGTGTGATACTCATGTTCCCACTGCCCTTTCTCCTGAAGCGTCTGCCCTTCTGTGGCCACAAGGTCCTCTCCCACTCCTACTGCCTTCACTCAGATCTAATCCAGCTGCCCTGTGGGGACACTCGGCCCAACAGCATTCTGGGACTCTGCATCGTTACTTCCACTTTTGGTCTGGACTCGCTGCTCATCGTCATTTCTTATGTACTGATCCTCTACACAGTGCTGGGCATCACCTCTGGGGAGGGACGGCGGAAGGCCCTCAACACATGTGTATCACATATCTGTGCGGTTCTCGTGTACTACGTGCCCATGATCAGCGTGGCTCTGGTGCACCGCTTCATGAAGCACGCTGCCCCTGCTGTCGGTCTATTGCTGGCCAATGTCTATCTTCTGGTGCCTCCTGTGCTCAATCCCATCATCTATAGTGTTAAGACCAAGCAGATCCGCCAGGGACTAATCCACCTTTTTGCATCAAAGGAAATAATAAGGGGTCAGTGTCAATGAGATGATTATCCTAAAGCCAGTTATTTTCCTTACCAAAGGTGTTCCAGGGAAGGAGAGAGTGCTCATCACCTTGTCAAAGTTAGAAAACTTGATACATGTATAGAGAATGTACATTTTTATACTACACTGTACATGTTGTAACCTAAATTAGAATTGTATAGTATTCTGTCAGCTGTTTTGTTGTATGTGTCAACTAAAAATACACATGCTTTTTAACTCAGAAATTCTAATTTTTAGCACTGCCCTAGATCATACTTTGATGCTTATTCATGAATACAGAGCCTTGATTATTAAGATTCTTACATCAGCTACTTTTGAAATAAGATTTTACAAAACAAAGTGGTCATCAATAAGAAAATAGCTAAATGAGTTAAGATCTGTTCATATTAAGGACTACTGCGAAGCTTAAAGAAAGGGCTCAGACTGATAGTGCTCAAGGCGTAAACTGTTGGGAAACGCCCGGCCTGATTTCAGAAGCTGGAACCCGGCCAACAGGCTGGAGGGCCCCAAGGCTGGAAATAATCAGGAGGCCTTGGAAAAACAGGCTCCTGAGGAGGCTTGGCCTGTCCCCCTGCCTCTCTGCTTTGCCATCAAGGGCCAATGGTCAATGACAGGTAAGTTACCTTCCACTGAGGTAAACAACCTAGGACAGGTATTGGCCAATATTGGCAGCAGATAAGAAATTGGGGGACACGGAAAAGGAGCAAAAAGGCCCCCACACCTCTTGACTTGGCTTGGATACGGCCAGAGTCCTCATTGCAGCCAAGAAGCCGTCTCCTTATCTCTTGGTGGTTCCCTCCCGACACCAGGCTCAGGCTTGAAGCAGTGCAGGAGTCAGCTCTAAATCAGGTCTGGCGGTTGCCAAGGAAATCAGGCCTAAAAGAAATTTCTTTAAAGTGTGCTTTGTTCTTTCCTCAGATCTCTGACCATCTCATGCTATGAAGGACATTCACACTATTTACACCCCTTACCTTGTTAAGACATTTGCTTTATTTACACCTTTTACCCTATATCTTTAAGGCGCCTTTAAGTCTACTTTCCCCTATGTATAGTCTCTATTGTCGATTCTAGTCTTCTCTTGGACCCAAGTAAATCAGTGAATTCCTTTCACTTGTTTTCTTAAAGGTATCTAGTCTCTGTGAAACTTAACATGCTAATGTAACGAATGTACATAGGCATTCCTGTTACCCAGCCCACTGATAAGTTTTTCAATAAAAGCCTTGGAACAAAGGCCACGGGGCCTTCCCCACTAGGGGGATGTGCCACAGCCTTCTCCAGTGAGAGGGAAGTGCCCCGTCTGCTCTCCTGACAAACAGAGAAGTGTTTGCGATGTTTTTCATTTATCCCCCCTCATCCGTGACAACCCCGGGATGAGCTCTGCAGGTTTCAGAGGCCTGCTCCCTCCTCAGCTGGCCCCAGCCGGTTTCCCTCAGGGTTCAGGGAGTGCTGCGCTCTCTGCGGCTCTCCCCTGCAGCGCGCACCCCTATAGCCACCGCACAGTGCAACAGTAAGCAAGTACCTAATACATATATGTATGTATGTATGTATGTATGTATGTATACACCCACATACACGCGCACACACACTTCCCCCAATGCAGACACACATACATTTATATTTGATAAAACTTTTTATAAAATAATTTAACCACATAATAATGTCAGTTTATGTGTGTAAAAATACATGATTGATGATATTTATAAGAGTCTGTGTTGGTGAATAAAGGAAGAAACAGAATTCTCAGTTTATTCATATTGTTTAGGAATAATACATTCACTGAGATCAAGACATTATTCCCAAAATATTTACTGCGCCAGATAAGTTTCTCTTTAATACACTCAGATCAGTAGAGATACATATTTCTTCTTGAAGTTCTTTAGGGACTCTTAACCCACATGTGAGAATCTTCTTTAAAAGGTAGAAGTGTGAGCTATTCTAATCTTCTTTTATAATTCTGCTGATGCAGAGGTGATTGGCAGTGGTGACGTCATTATTTTACTGACCTAAGTTGGAAGGACAAATTTTCCTGTCCTCTAAGAACAAACAAATTTGTGGGCATTTAAGGCATATTTCACATTATAACAAATACTCATGCAAAATGTTAATTGCTTGTCAATATATGTTTAAAATGTTTTAAGAAATTGTAGGGGATTTATACTAATACAAAGTTTTGGAATACAGTAAAAAATCAGAAGTGTTCATGTACAGAAATAACCTACTAAGCCTAAAATATTACATGCTAGAAACTAATTTAGGGGCACTTGTTTATCTTTTATGTTAGTTTTATTTTTTTTTCCTTTGATCTATCACATATTAAGCCCACCAGGCTCAACCTTCTTAAAGACCTGATTTCTCTTTTTAAAGTAAGGGAGATAACCCACATTGGTCCCGCTGCTGGTGTTTTCATTGTGTCAAAAAGTGTAACAACTGAAGACTTAAAAAAATAATAAAACAGCATCTTCCTAAAGAACTTTGTATCTTAAAGATAGATAGGTAAACAGATAGATAGATGATAGAATAGATAGAAGATGGATAAGTTATAGATAAATAATAGAAACATAGATATAGATTATTTTGGTTAAACTAGGAAAAATTCATGACTACATGATCACCTTAAAATATATAAAATGTATTTAAAATTAAGTTCTACACATTCAGTACACAATCATTTGTGATAAAATAAATTAAAATGTGAGTTGCATATGTTTATATATGTGGGGTATTAAGGTCTTCCTGCTTTCCATTTATTATGGAAAAACTTCATGTGAAATATGGAATTCCAAAAATACACTATGTTTGATACTCCAAAATTTCCAGTGATTCTTAAATAAACACTGTATAATCCTTGTTTTCCTGTTGCAGAAAAATCAAAGGCCTAATCTTTTAAAACTCAGTTTTATCCCAGGGTTTCAATATAAAGTGTTTTTGCCTCAGGAAGTGTTTTACATAAAACTTTTTTAATTATATTTATTATGTTTGTTTGTTTATTTTGTTCTTTAGATTCCACATCGATAGCTGGCTTTTTAATTATATTTCATTGTTTGTACTATAACAGTTGATCCCACTTTTTCCCCTTTGCCCTCCTCTACCTAAACCCTGTGAGGACAATCCCCACACTATTGTCCACGTCCGCGGGTTATGCACTAGGTTCTTTGGCTAATCCCTTCGCCTCCTTGCATCCAGCCCCACCTTCCCACATATCTCCACCCCCCCCCCACCCTCAGCTGTCTATGCCTCAGTTTCTATTGTGTTCATTAGTTTATTTTGCTTATTAGATTCCACATATAATTGAGATCATATGGTGTTTGTCCTTCACTGACTGACTTATGTCACTTAGCATGATATTCTCCAGGCCCACCCATGCCGTGCTAAAGGATAACATTTTCTTCTTTTTATTGCTGGGTAGTGTTCCATTGTGTAAATGAGCCACAGATTTTTTATCCATTTATCTACTGATGGTCACTTAGGCTGTCTCCAGATCTTGGCCATCGTAGATAATGCCGCTGTGACCATGAGGGTGTTGTGGGGAGCGCTGCTCGGGGCGCTCCTGGATCTGAGGGTTACTGTCTGGAGCCATCTGAGGAGGAAGCGGGGCTCTGAATCCCACCGAGCCCATCCTGGGGTTGTCACGGATGGGGGGATAAATGTAACGGGGCACAGCCAGGGCCTCTCCAAAGGGTATTTGTAACAGGGTCCAGAGCTTGGAGTGTCCAAGAAAAATATATTCTCCCAATCCCACAGCGGCCATAGGGGATGGGAGCCTTGAGCAGGGCCATTGAGAGTCATTTTGCATGTCAATAACAGGATAGCTTCATTCCTCATATGCAAAAAGGGTTATTTTGCATATCACCAACACTAAACAGGAAGGTTTAAAAGACTTAAGGCAGACTGTAACTAGAGGCGAAGGAGGAGAAACAGGGGCCTGCAGGAGAGAACTAGGGACACAGTCTCTGGGAAACAGTGTAAAGACCACATGGGAAGAAAGAGGGGAGAAAGGACTCTTGCTAGTGGGCCATGAGAAGGTGCCACTGGTATGGATTAAGAGCTGGAGATCACAGCGATGCAGCGGATGGTGCTGAGATCCACGAGAGGCCTGCCTAGACGAGCCCTGGACTTCTGTTCTTTTTCTTCTGAAGTACGGTACCCTGACTGGCCTGACTGACCTAACTGGGCAAAGAGAAGAAGGCAGGGTGGTGTGTGTGCTGGTGGTTGTTTTAAAGGAATTTTGAGGTATAAGGGGGACATTTAGTCATTAATCAAACTTATATAACTTTTGAATAAATAGTTCCTTTCCTTTTCACCAAACTCTGCCAAAGAATTTGGCTATTTCTTTGTTTTTCTTTCCATGTATTAGATAAAACTGCTTTGACTTCCAGACTTGGTGTTGTGGGCTTCTGTAGTAGATGTCCTGCGGGACCCAGCAGTGCCATCTTCTTGATCATCTGAGCTACGTGCTCTAAGATTGACCCTTGTGTGAGTCATGTGGCCTTTCCTGTTGTAATTGGTTCTTAATTGCTATTGTCCCATTAGTTGAAAGGCTCCACCCTCATGCTGCTTGACTGTTAGACACAAACCTGACCACATTGTACAAATTGTTGTACAGGTACCTGTCCATGTCTGTGCTTCTGTTTATAAATTTTCAGATCAACTAACTTCAACTGGTGAATACTCTGCAGTCTAGCTGCAAGTCCAATCCAGACCTGGGAGGAAATGGATGGAGATCCCAGCTACTCTGCAGCCATCTTGGAACCACTCCGCATATAAAATTTGTTGCACACCTAAAAAAATTTGTGGCAAATATTTCTCACGGAAATATTACAAATATTTCCTGTTGTATTAGTTGCAATTACATGAAATGTGTCTATCTGAGAAAGGGGTGAGGTGTCCATGATGTGGTTTACTTGTGAACAATAGTTAATAAACATAATTATAATAAATGCAATTATAATAAATAGAATTGCAATACACACAAATAAATTATAAAAAACACAAACTATAAT